TGACAGAGAAATTTAGCTATGAACAGTCTCTGTTAGTGTTAATCATCACCATCAGAAACCATGATTAAAAATCTACTGGGGTGAGCTAGTGATAGGTTCAATATTATGAATTTGTACAAATCTATTTTAAATTATAGTTTTAGCATTCAGGTCATTCTGATGCATAAATAATATCTATATTTTTTTACATTTATTCTTAAAATTTGCTGGTAATCAATCAATCTAACTCTTTATTTTTTCTTTCATTAGAAGGAATCTGATAAATCTTTTGAACATTTTAACTGAAAATTTTATATTTTTATGGTGTTCCTGAGGTTTTGAAAAACATTTGTACAACAGCATATCTTGTCCTTTTTTCAGTAGCTGACATGTTGTAGTGTAGGCCTACATTTTACATAGTAGGAATTGGTCTTGTTTGTACTGGTTGTTTTGATTTCTATGCATTAACGACATTCGTAATGCTTGTTGTTGAGCATTGTGAAAGTACACAGCGGTAGTTGCTTCTTCCTCATACCCTAAATTTGATTAATATTTCCGATGATGGAATTTATCAAATGAATTTGTGAAGTGCATATTGCCTAGACAGTCAATAAGAAAATGAACTAATGTTACGTGGTATTATGGGGACAGTGCTCTCCTTTGTAGTCTTAAGATGATAGGTTAGGCTATGATTTTGCAATAATAAATTAATAATTGTGAACTTATGTACATAGCGCATAATGTGAAATACATCTATGCGCGTTACAGCACGTAAAGGGTGGGATAATTTATATAAAGTTGCACTTAATAATAGAAATAAATAAATATCAAAACTAAATAAATATTAACTTTATTTTAACTTATGAATAATTTAAAAAATACAGTAATTTTAATTTTCTTTGATCTACTTAATTGTAAAATATTCCTTTTCTTGTCCTTATTACATTACTTACCTTTTCTTTTCCATTTTTTCATGTCTTTTCTTCCTCCTAATACTTTGTAAAACAACTAATAGTAATAGATGGATTTATGAAGTGCATATAAACAAGGTGTCTATAAGTTGTTTTCATTTAATATTATTCATATTTTTTATTTTAATGATGCAGTCCAATTGGAGCATCAGTAATTATAAAAATCATATGATTGAAAAAACCATAAGCAAAAATCTCAAGTAATATCTGATAAGCTTCTTACAAGTTTATAATATGTCATAATTACAGAATCGCATTTAATAAAAAGCCAAAAATATTGTGAATATAGTTGAACAGATGATTTTAATACTAAATTTTTTTATAACATTTGTTGTGAAAATATTTTTAAAATGTGTTATTTCTTATCATGGAAAAAAAGATAAATACAAAAAAATAAATAAAATAAAATTGCACATAAAAAATAATGTATCAAACATTAGAATATATAGTTAAATAGTATTTAAAAGTATATTTCACTGTTAAATTTAAAATATTATACCTGCTTAGTTTTCTTATGTGAAAATACAAATATCTCTACAAATCACTATATTAATAAACTAATGTTAAATTAAATTTCAAGTCTGTACAGCAAGTGAGCAAGTGGTTGATTGAGAGAGACTATATTGTCTGCCAGTGTCTCTGCTCAGATAGTTGGTTTGTTTTGCCGCTCATTTTGTTTGTTTTTACGACCTGCCTCTTTTGTAATATCGAAGGTCAAATCTTTTTACATTGATACGGTTCAGCGATTAGTGGCTGAATAACGTGTATGCATCTATTTCACAGTTGCTCTCACTGAGTAGTGATTTGTTGCAACACATCAGTGATACAAGCATTAATACCAGTTAGAATTACACAGCTGTCAATAAATTGATCATTATAATGTTTTTTTTAAAAAGCACTTTATTAATTTATTATTTTATGAGATTATTTCCATCATGTAAATATTAATTTTAAGTAGCAGTATTAATTTGGTTTATTTCATCAAACAGAACAAGCTAAAATTGTGTGATAATTGAGGGTAAACCAGCCTACTTGGAATTTTTATGAATGTGGGAATGTTCTTCTCACGTTGTATGCTGTATATATTTTTAAAGGTTTATTGTTTTGGGTAATAAATCATGATCAATAATAGTTTATTTTACTGTTGAACAATAAAAGTCAGTATCTGAGTTATTTTGTATATTATTTAAAGTAAGTTAACAGGGCTGTAGAAAACTAATGTTAATGTAGGTGGTACATTTTAAGGTTATGTGAGTGATAACATTGGTCAACTCTAAATAATAATGAGTGGATTTAAGGATAGGCAAGGTGGTTAATAAAGGTGGGTGGAGGGCCATGAAATTAGCTTTAGACTAGGTGGAAAATTTCAATGCTCCACCCACCATAACTACATCCTCGAGTTAATATTTTATCAAGAATATTTTTTCCTAGTAACCAAAGCATACACTAACTAATAAACAGTTATTCTTTGCATAGAATTATAACCAATCATTTCCGAGAGATCAAGATCAGTGCAAACTTTTGTTCAACTTGTGTCTAATTTGAAGTAGATAACATATTTGATCTTAAATTAGCAACTTATTGTTTTCAGTGTTTTTATGTTGTTTTTTTTACAATTTTTCTATAATAATAATAATAATAATAATAATAATAATAATAATAATCTTTGATTTGAAGTGGAAAGCTTGATTATCTATGCAGGTGTTTTTAATAAGGCCATTTTAAATTTGTTAAGAGTGTATTGAAATATTGTATTATACATACAAGTACAGATGAAAAATGGAAAGCATTGAAAAACAAAAAAAATATAATTAAATGAAAATCAACAAAACACTTAAAAATACTTTAAAACAGTAAAAACAGGGATGTTATTCATTCACAATCAGTATGGAATCAGTTTTCTATTAAAAGTGAAGATACATCGTCATTATTGTCATCTCATTATCATCGTCATTTAATCGCCATTTGCATTGTTGTAATTTATTTCAGTAATAAAAGAATATTAATGTATAGACCCGACTGCAGAGTGAAGTTTACTGTGCTCTGTTTTTATGTGCTAGATGTGTTTATCACTAGTCGCAACTAAATATTTATTGATGAACCTGGGAATAGTCTTGCTTCGCTAGTACCAACCAGATCATTCCAATTTGACTGGCTATATCCTAAGTTGTTTTTTTTTGTATACAAATTCACAATGTAAATGTCATACAGATAGGAATTCAGTTATTTGGAGTGGAAGGTGAAATCACATGATTTGCTCTGTTCACATGTTGTACTTGCATATTTACCATGTGATATAGACGCTGTGTCACATGGGTGGTTCTGTTCTTACTGGGTCATAATCAGTTGATATTATGAATTCCATTCACACTGGTTTTTCTCAGTTGTGTGACAAGTGGAATTGAATGCTTGTGTCCGTAATGACCATTGTTTGATTTCCTGATGCTAACATCTATATCCTGCTTACATCTATCCTCAATGTGAACATTTTTAACACTATATGTTAATGGTATAGGTAATGTCTTTTAATAGTATATAAAGTAATAAACTTTAAAAAAAATGCACAAATATTTATCCATATTGTCATAATATCATTCATTCAAATCATTATCATTATTCAATTATTTGTTTTATTATACATAATCAGGGTTGTAGCTGTAGAAAACTAAGTGAGTAGTAGACATTTTAAAGGTGGGTGGGTAATAATAACAACTTGGTAAACTCAAAGAGTGGATTTTAATAATGGGCAATAGGTTATTAAATGTGGGTGGAGGGCCATTAAATTAGCTTATAATAATAATAATAATAATGATAATGAAAACTTTATTTAACTACGGAAACACTTGTTCACCGCAATGGTGTTTTTCAACAAGGCCGTAAAGGCATTGTACAACTCAACAAAACAGAAATTAAAACAAAAAGGTAAAAATAGACTTATTAAAAAAAGAAAATCACATTAGGGCTTACTGAAAGAAACTTAACTACATTAACTAAACTGAATTATCGTAAATAAACTTACATCATTAACTATAATACTTTAAATTGATTTTAATTTTCATTTTAAAATTGGAAATTGTCTGGGTAGAAAACTTTAGACTGGGTAGAAAACTTCAAAGCTATGTGGCCGACCAACCTCCATATCTTAATAAGTCCTTTATAATTTTTAAAATATTAGAATATAATAATAAATAATATTAAATAATTTACCATACTTAAAAGACAAATTATTTGATGTGGAATTGTTAAATGCCAAGTGTCATATATTTATTACAAATTATTCTGCATTATTCATCTTATACTAATCAATTATGCACTATGTTATTGCCATTTTGGTAACTGGGTCTGAAACTAATGTGCCTTTAACCTTTTCTCAATCAGATAATCTGTCAGACAATCAATCAATCAGTCCAATTCAATTCAAATAGCCAGTCAAACCCAAACATTCTTATAGTACCCATTACCCATCATAATTGATAATGTTAAGTATCTTTTGAAGAGTAACTATTGTAGTTAATGTTTAACAAGCACATTTATATAGATCTGTCAATTTGATGTATTTTTGTACTCACTTTATTGCATCTATAAAAGAGTGAATACAATCTGCAAAAGAGGTACAAAAGAAATTGTAGATTTGACAGTGCATTTAAAGTAAATGCCCAGTAGCAGATTTTGATTATATTCAAAATCAAATAAGGTCTTCTAAAAACGTAATGTCAATATGAAATGCATGTAATAGTTGGATAATAAATAATTAAAAAAAATCTTGTGAAAGTTTGTAATCTGTTTTAATAATTCTGATGACATTTTTTCGTTGATGTTTGCCCTACCTGACGTGTTATCATACTGAATGCTCAGAACGTTTTGAAATACTGTGTAAAAAATCTCGTAAGTGGTTCATTTGGAAATCGAACGAAGACACTAAGCTAGTTATCTGGAGGTTATTTGGGAACGTACTGAGCATTTAGTACGATAACATGTCAGGTACAGCAAACATTAAAGGATTGATTTAAAACAAGTAATTTGATTGGTTACTTTTATTTTCTTTGACAGCACTACAAGTGCGGAGGCTCTGAATGCTGCCGCAGGATTGGATGAAAATGACACAGAAACTCAAACTAGTAAACTGCTTGATGCGATTGGATCGTGGCATTTCACAGAACCAACCAGGAGGGCATCGTGTGGATGTACCAGGCAAGACATGTTTTTCTTATTATGGTTAACTGTTTAGCTAGACAACGCCATTACTTAAGCACCTGTGAGTCATGCATCGGCGGGCTTTGCGTCTCAAATTGCCGATAAACGGTGCGGTGTTGGTTTGGTTCGGTTAGGCGTCTAGAGTGCTGTTAGTCTAGGTTTATGGTTATTTTTTTTTTTTCCGTTTCCTTCCGTTGTTGTCAAGCACCTCGAGGTTGGTCCAACAGGAGGCGCTATACAAATTGCAAATTTTTATTATTATTATTATTATTATTTAAAGAGAAGATATATAATTGGTATTCAAATCAATACTGAAGTAATTTCTATATCATGAATATGTAACAAAATAAACTTCCGGTACACCATGTATTAGAATATAGTTTTTTGCACATGGTGTACTTTAAGTTAAGTTATTTTGTTAATTATACTGTCATGCAAACATTCAAGAAATATTTTGATGATAATGAGATTATGAGATCCAGGTTTCTCAACATTTTTTTCAAGGTAGTAGTACAAAACAAAGATTTTAAAACATATTTATATTTTTTTTCCCTTTACCATATCCATTGTTTTGACGTATAAAACACAATGATTCAAGAAATGCAATTGCACATGTTCAAACATTATATTTATAACCTTATTATTCTTGATTAGTCATATTGTTTTGTTCATCTTGCCATTATTCAAAATATACATAATTATTATTAATAATTAAGAATGCCTAAAATCTTTTCTCCTTAAAGATTGTATTTTTTTAAACATATAATTTGTCATCCTTTGTAAAGCACTGTGACATTACACCGTTGTTTCACACTTATTTTCTTTTGACAGGAACCGAAATTCCAAAATGAAAGCAGCTTTAGTTCCACTGGGCACTAAGGTTCCGGCTGCGAATTCTCCACCTACGAAACACAAATCGGATTCTAAGCAAGACAAGCAACAGCAGCAGCGCTCAAGGCCAATAACTTTGTTTCATCACCGAGTGCCAATGGCCGAGGATTTTTATTCAATGGAACAGGAAGCAATGTCTCACCGATTGGGTGTGCCAGTAGGGGGAGTTGTGTCAATGGACAGCAAAGCTAAACCAGGCTCTGGAAATCATTTGATGCGGTCGGATTCGAATCAACCTCAGACACCGCAATCGGCGGCACCGTCGCCTCTCACCGCCCCTGTTAATCAATCATTAGGTGTTGGTGAGCGAACCATGCCCACTCTCAGCCCTTACCCTCCACCGACGCGGGCCGGTAGTGATTCGGGGACCCCAACGGCCGGTAACGCACCCGTCATGAAAACGGAGCCGTATCCCGTATCTTTAGAAAACAAAGATCATGTGTTTACAGAACTTGCCAAAGGTGAGAGGACTTCAAATAAAAAATCTGTTGAAGCAGATGAAAAATCCGAGGATGAAGTATTATGGAGACGGTTTCAATTACCGTTGAACTTTAAAAGGCCGTTGTTGCCAAAGACTAATCTCGAAATGGATGATCAAGCTGATATTCTGTTGGACACTCTCTATGAAGCTGATAATAGTGATGAGTAAGTAAACAACAAACAATTGTTGCCTAGCAACTATCACCAAGTGGTTATACAGCTTAAGTGGCTCCACAGCTAAGCCATATTTTCCATAGATTTTTCAATTAATGTATCAAAACTTAAGCGTTTCCGATTAAACATGTAATTAAAGCACCAAAGCACAGCATCTTTTTGGTGACTGATGTTAATTGTAACGTTTGCAATGTACAGATTAGGGTATTATGTCTGGAAATTAAGTGAAAATGATTCATCACTTGAAAAGCTAAGGATACGTTGACTTAAATGTGGAGGCACTCAACCATATAAAGCTTGTGTAGTGTTGCTTAGTAACAAAGGGAAATTATTTAATAGTTATTAATCTTCATATATTTTCTTATATAAATCTAACTTTATCTTTATATAGCATTATATTGATGTGGTTACTCTGTATTCAGAATCATATTAATTGTTAGGAAAATGTTTTTTTTCCCTAATGGCATAGGTATAAATTTAAATGAGTAAAATTTTTAATAGAAAAATCTAAGGGCGTATTTGGCTTCATACAGTATTTCAAGAAGTAGAAAAACAAAGAGTTGAGTTAAATAGCCTCGTTTCAAGATATACATTGGAATAAAAAAATTAACATGCATGTACCGAAAACGAGTTGGTGTTGATGATGATGGTCTTACAATGTGTAGTAGGCTATGTTTCTAGTATCAGTAATTCTCTTGAATGGTTGTTTTACATTACTATCTGAATATTTTTCATTTATTATTAATCTTTGTTTAAGTCTTTATTGTGAATGAAAAAAGCCTAATAAATATTTTCTATTCATCAGTGCTGTATCATGCACCTTGCAGGCAGGGATATAATTATGGTGGGTGGAAGAAGGCTGGGCCTCCCACCCTTAAAGTCTTCCACCCAGTCTAAAGCTAATTTAATAGCCCTCCTTCACCTTTATTAACCCCCTTGCCCATCTTTAAAATCTACTCTTATTTAGAGTTTACAAATGTTATCACCCACCTACCCTTAAAATGTCTACCACCCACCTACCTTTAAAATGTCTTATCACCCACCTACCCTTAAAATGTCTACCACCCACCTACCCTTAAAATGTCTACCACCCACCTACCCTAAAAATGTCTACCACCCACCTATAGTTTTCTACAGTTACAACTCTTTGGTCATGAGCTACTTCATTATATTTATTTTAATTTTAAATAATACATTTTTTTAAATTATTATTTTGTGATATTCATTTAATTTTATAGGCCATTTACACTGCTTCTACTTTTTTTTTAAATGGTCAAGTAGATAATTACAATGTTTCTGATCTTGAGTATGACCTAATTCTCGCTTCCGCTACTCGAATTCAAGCAGGCTGCCACAAGGCCATGATATTGGTGGTTTAAATACTGGGTTTCCTTTAACTATAATACTGATATTAAATTTCAATTAATTAATTTTTTTTTCAACAGAGTGTTCTACCAACCACATAAAAAGTTGCGGCAGGAAAAGACGTATTTATATCGCAGTGACTTATTGCCAGGCATCTATGATGATAGAAGGCCTTTAAGACTGCCCTCACCAGATATTGACCCTTATGCATTTGAAGAGTCCGATATAACATCGCCAAATGTAAGATCCACAGAATGTGAATTGTGATAAATTATTAATTATTTAATCATTTCATTCACAGAGAAATGTCGCATCACATAGTCAAAAACAAAGAAGTACTATCTCTCATGAGCTAAAAAAAAAAAATTTGAAAATTCAATTTCGTATTTGAACTATCTAATTTGTGTATTTATGTGAGTTATTGATTTTCTATTACAAAAAAATTTGAATGAGATAAAAATGTCTGTCAATTGACGGACAATTACATAAATCCTTTCTTAATTCTTTTGCATAGAACCAATGAATCTTTGTAGACAAATGTCTGAAAATCAGGGAAAACTTTTTTTTTCCTTGTTTTTGGTTTCAAGTTGGTAACTTGTTTTATCCTTTTAAATCAGCTATTCAAAATTTTAAAATATTTGTTTAAATTTTCAGATTTTTTTTGCCAGACAATGCATCTTTAAATTGGGATTTATATACTAACTAGTAGTTCCATTGATAGTTTATAAATAAGTAAATATCTATAAAAAGACATATTTGTAGTAATATCAGACATTGAGGCATTGCGATTCATTTTGACCCTTATGTAGGTCATCATCAGGAATAATAAGTTTGTATTCATAAATATCTATATCATAGTGTTACTGAAAGTCAACCAAAGAAAACAGTATCAAATTGATATAGCTAAGCAATAGATTAGTAACCAAATAATTAATATGTAATAAATTAGAATTTGTATCTTAATTTCATGAGGCTTGTTAAGGCCTTAGCTCCCATGTTTGTGGTCATTTAAGCCCAGAACAACTTAAGATTAACTGGACATATAGGAGGGAGATCTATAACTTGAGTAGCAAGAAACTCTGTAATCTCCAATACACTCACTGCTATTTCCTGTCATTTTCTATCCATTCTCGGTGTTTATGTATATATACAACAACTGAAACCTAGTAGTAAAAGCTTGATATGCCAATTTCTTTTATAATCTCTGGCCAAGTTAGATATGTGTCCGATAAAAAGCTATGCGTCATACAGTTTAGTCATAGAAAGCATTGTTTTGGTTCATAAGCTCGACAGATTGGACCTATTTTTGTCAGCAGTGAAAACTAATATTGCCTTATCCCTTGCTTCCTTTTACTGCTTCCTGTCTCTCGTCTGAGTTCAAGCTGTAGAGGGCGTTGTTGAAGGTTTTCAACAATAATTCTTTAACAATCATTTACTATCAGAGGAAATAATTTTTAAACAGAAAGCAAGGAAAACCTGGTCTAAAAAATTATTCTAGTTGCACTGAACTATTCCGATATTGCTTCTATTGTACAGCAATACAACATTTGTTTTCCAGTGGTGTTGATACAAAAAAATCAGAGATATGACTTCTAGAATAAAGCATGAAAAAAAAAAAACAACTTGCACAAAAGTGGTTCCAAAGATTAAGCACCTTATAAATGTGGTAACACTGTTGGGGTAAATAAATCATGTTTTTATTAAATAAGCCAACGAAGGGAATCACTACACATTGTAATCTACTATACTGTACTAGAAAATAATAAATATAATTTTCCAAAATATAGATTTCTATCTCTTTTCACTATTTCCCAAATTGACGTAGGGTACAAAATGACTGTTGACTGGAATATACAGATGATGTAATTTTTTTTTTTATTTGATGATATTTGCAGAGTGGTCGTACAATGCCAGCTTACAAGAAAGCTAATGCAAAGGTCAGACCAAGGAGAAGGGGAAGTTTTAAGGCTAAACCAGATAAAAAGAAACAGGTAAACCACAATACTTATGCATACATTTGCATAAGGTCACATCTGTTTATATATTATAAACATGATTACATATATTTTTTTCTTTATAGAAACATTTGAGGGTACAATTCTGAAATTTAATTTTTTGGGTTTTTTTTCCTATATTATTCATTGCAGAAATTATTTGAATTTTCATCGTAGTAAATATACCTATTTGAATAATTTAATATAGTAGTAATAATTATACCACAATTGATTGAACAAGCTTCTCTTTTAAATATGTTTTGCTCTCAAATAAGCGAAGTACCAAATATGAATTTTTACTTTAAGCATCTCTTTCTCTCTCTAATAAGCACTGCTGCTTAGGGATATTTCCTATTTATGTAAACGTAGTGGCACTTACCACAAGATAGCATTGAAGATTTGTATCGTTTAGACACTTAAAACAACCCATTTCTCACAGTATATACAGTAACATTGCAACAAGACAAGATAGGCCTATGTACAACACATGGTAAAACCTTCACAAATTCTGAATAAGCATGTCATCATAGTATTTATACAGAATATATAAAATACTAAATTTCACTAAATACTAGATTTTATGCTATAACTCTATAAACATTTGAAATTTATATTCAACACTTAATTCCAACAAATTATTTTTACTATCATTTTGTTGTTGCTTTTATTTTAGGAGGAAGAGATGAAACAGAGACAAGGTTGTGAGACGGACCAACTGAATTCAGGTGCCTTACCATGTCTTGCCTCACCGACAGACCCCATAACAGATGGCGGTAAGTAGCGTTTTAAGTATGTCTATTTGGATCTGTAGCTTGGTGTTTAATACCCGATTTTTACAACAGAAAAAGATGTGACATGAGTCTAGTGTTGAGGTATATTTAGAATGCAGCCCAGGTACATTGCATCCATGTTTTATCTGTACAATGAACATGCGTCCCATTTAATATTCATGTTTGAAAATCAGACATCTCTGTAAGACTTCCAATATATTTAGCATGGTTCTGTGCTTTTGTGCATGTGTAACAGATCAAATATTATATTTCCCTTTTATCTTAAGGGGTGGATTTGGGTGAGGGGTATGGTCCTGGGGGGGCCCCCCTTTTTTGGAAAGTAAAAAAAATAGGGGAAAAGAAAGAAAAAAATGGTTGCCCAAAACACCTCAGAGGTTATTTTTGGGTGTCTAGAAAACAAAAATTTCGCGGGGGAATTTCCTGGACCCCCTAGGGTGGTGTTGTATCGATCAGGTTTTTCTCCCCCCCCCCCTTTTCGGACATCTGTGGATCTGCCCCTGATGTTCACTGAGTATCAATACAAGTACCAATTTTTAGCAGGGTTTTAAAACACTTGTGTGAAGACGATTGTATCTAGGTAGAAATAAGTCAGTGTATCTTTTTTTCTGATATGAATTGGGTAGACCTATATTATGAAATTCGTACCACTTTCAAACAAATGAACACAAGCAATAATGATGTGTTAATGTCATCCTCAGGTCAGCAGCATATGCACCAAAGGAACTCATCTTCATTTTTTCACGAAACAGACTTGGCTGTCACCAATCGGGATTTGGATCAACTGTTTGACAGTGACGGAAGCGACGATGACCCAGGGGTAAGTCTAATTTGATATCACCCTTGTATAACTGGGATAGTACCCCAATTTCAGCATGAAGCTTTCCTTTACTTGATGGTCAAATAAGATAATAAAAATACTTAGAAACAAAATAGGGATCACTTTTTCAAAGAAGCAAATAACAATTGTCAATCTTTTAACACAAAGCTAACCCTTTAAGTTGATACTGAACACCGAGACAACCCCAAAATGTGAGCTCTCGTGACAATGAGTCTTGTGGTACAAAAAATGAAAAATGAGTTATTGATATATTTAGATAGATGACCTATATAAGCTTTATTGTGGTCTTTTAATCATGTTTCTAGGTTGAGTAAAACCAGAGTAAGATCATTTTAAAGTTCAGGTGTCTAAAAACATACATAAGAGAAAATTGCCTCTAAAGATAAACAACTGATAAATTTTGTGTTGGTTTTCCTATCAATTCTGAAAATTAGCTTTACAAAATGTGCCTCAAAAACATGATTACCTTAGTAAACTCAACTCAGAACTTCTGCTACTGTGAAATATACACATTAAACTTATCAGAAAAAATTAAATGTGTATTGTCCCATGCTAAATACCCAAAAAAATCATTAAAATATTTTTTGAAATTAACTTTTCCATTTTGAAGTAACATAAAAGTTATCAACTTGAACATAGAAATTAGTGTATTTAAAAAATGTCTACCCATCAGTTTACAGCAAAAAATGATAGAAACACTTCCATTAACTGGAAGTGTTTCATTATTTTTATTATAATTATCCAGTTTAAAATTAGGGTGCACATTTTTAAATTCAATAATTTTTATACATTAGTTAATAATTTGTATGTTACTGCAAAATTAGCAAGTTGATTTCAAAATGATTTTTTGACATTAGCAAGGGACAATACATCTTTAAACCCAATATTTGACAAAATTTCACTTCAGATATATTTTCTTAAATATATCAAGTTGACCTGGTGTACCTCAAGACTCACTTTGTCACTAAAGCTTTCAAATTATCAGCCCCAAAATGGTCTTGAAGTGGAGGGCAAACTACTTATTCTTTCCTCCTTTTCCTTATGATTTTAGCCTTTCATTCTCTTGTTTTTACATTTTCGTTTTTTTTTTTTTTATATTGCTTATTGTGACTACTGCATACTGAGTGGTATTAAATTCCACTATTACATTATATTACATTACATTAATATTGCTACCATATAAAATTAAAACTGACTTGAGAAATGTGTACAGGTTCTTACCACCTGTTGTGGCGCTAGGGAAGTGTCTTATTTCTCAAATGCCACGGACGCAAACCTCAAAGGGTCAAAGATCAAACTGAAGGGTCATAGTTCTGATGAGACATTTTCTTGGTTCATCAGTCTCCACTCCCTGCAACATGGGTCGCATAACGGGTTATCGTAGGTCAAGAAGATGACTTAATTACCTTTGGCATTTGCACTATGTAACTTCATCAGATTGATAAACTGTCTTAAAAATATGCTTATTATCTATCCTAGCTCATTTCCCTCCTTACTGTATTTGTTTAATATAGGATATATAAAATTAAAAACTAGATATCTGACCTAAAAAAATCCAAATAACAAAGTATGCTATTGGATATATTTGATAATCACGTAGCCACACATGAAATTGAATGGAAATATAATAAGTATTATAAGCTAAATGACCTTTACTAATACTAAAGAGAGATCCTATTGCCAATTTGTTCCCTGTTTGTTGAATTTAATGTAAGAAAAAAAATTTAATATTTAAGCATAGTTAAAAAAAAAACCCCCAGAAATATACCTTCTATTTTGATGTTTAAAAAATCAGTATTATGTAGGGTCAATATATTTGGGGGTTTTTCCCATTGTTATTTTTTTTTTTTGTAATGATATAAGAGTGAGTTTTAATGACAGCTAAATGTTTTTAATTCCCAGGAACCATTTGAAGACTTGAAAACACCTGGACCCACAATTGATGACAATAATAAACCTTGTATGGGAAATTCCCTTTCTAGTTCCACTGGTGTTCCAGGTAAGATTCAAACAGTGGATTATTTTTATACCTGGAGTTGTTGCCTTGTAGTTTGGTGATTATGTAGTGAAAAATACACTGAGGTAACATAACATTTAACCAAAAAGGCTGTTGTAATCAATTAATCAATTGTTCCATTTTATATGCCACCATTCCAACAGTCAGAGCTCCTGTTTGCAGTTCAATGAAGGTTATAAAAACAGGTGTGCCTTGAGTAGCAACTAGAAACTTTCCCTTTCCCACCTCCCCTTCTTCCCCCCCCCCCCCCAATGAAAAATGCATCATCTGACTATTTGTATTGTGATTGATTCAAGTCTCCTAATATAGTTTGAAGTACCAATAATATCCATTGGATTTTATAAGCATAACATTATTATTGTTAACTACTGATTCTAGGTTGGCCAAGGACGTAGTAGTTAAAACGCAATGTTTTGCTTTGCTGTTCTAGCCTTCATGACGCTTTGGATTATTTATATGTTTGGCCTGAAGATTAAACATGTTGGCACACTTGACTAATTTACATTGGATTCAAATGTTGCCAGTCATCATCTTAAAACATTGACTTTCTGACAACATGCCAAAGACAAGCCAGATAGATCCATGCTGGGAATAAATTAGTCAACTAACACAAATCAAAGACTAACTAATGCCCTCAATCTAAAGTCATTGGAATATTCTCTTTTTTTTTAAATATATGTGCAGGTTTATCCATTAGTTTTGGCAAGTTTTTAACTTAATTAGTCACCTGTAGGCATTTTTGCTATTAAAATATCAAACAGAATGTTAAGTGTCATTGGAGAAGATAGTGGTAATGAAAGTAATATGTATAATTAGCATGGTAGTATTAAGTGAAACTGAACAGGCATAAAAGCATTTTGAACGAAAAATTGGCCCGATTTTGGTGGGGAGGGATGGGATTATACCCAGGGATCCCTGTGTGCATAAACAGAACGAAAATGATGATCGTTTTGCAAGATGGCAAAAGCATTAGAACAACTGCCCTACGATTAATAGCCTATTCAAAACTATATTCCGGTGAAGAAATCAGAGTTTACTCGAATATCAAAGGGAATGGAACACCCTAATTAGTAGGCCCAAGCTCCTAGCTAGAGAGTCCATATCTTGGTCTTTCCTCAAGCTAGGTCAGCCTTTGCCTAAACTTTCTTGACGTCGTAAGTTATTTTTTGCCCAGCAACAACCAATCACCCATTGCATGTGAAGACCGCCCACTTGTGATGCATGATGTAACAAGTTATTTTTAGCAGCGAGAGTCTCTGTGTAAAACATGTGAGTCTTCATGCTGTGAATTAACGATCCGATCAGCCTACTGGGCGTGTCTCTTTAGGGTCGGACCGCGGTGTTGCCTATTTTTAGCCGCAGCTAGCGAACTTGTTTATTTTAGCAACAATAAACAACAAGAATTTCCAAGCATGGGCTTTGTATTCAACTCTACGGCGACGAATTTCTGGTCTAATCAATGGGAAGAGTTTTAGGTCTGCCAAATTCGGATCTAAATCCTTATATTTTGTGAGCATTTGTTAAATTTGCCGACCTAGGCCTACTTACCTAATTATACCTTGGAACTTTGCCCGCTAAATGCCTGTACGCGGAGTTTGGCGTAAGGTTGGGGGTGCGATTATACCCAAGGTGGGACTACACCCGAGGAACTTTGGTAATACTAATAATATTTTGATGATAAATTAATGAAAAATATGATATAATGATGCTAATTATATAAATTGTTTATTGATATGTTAATTAAATACTAATTATCCTAATTTTAATCATTACAATAATTATTCTAATTATACTTATTCTAACGGTGATAATTATGGTAATATTAATGATGGTCATGCTTATAACAATGATGATAATACTCTTTAACAGTTTTTATTTTTATTTTTTTCTAATTGTATGTCATCATTGTTAGTTTAATTTTCAAATTCCTGTCTGAACATGTTTTATCTTTCCATACATGTTTAATACTATGATGCTCTTTATTGTGACAAGACCAGCATTGGAGTATGATACATATTACCAACGGTCTGATTTTAGAGCAGAACAGACAAGTGATAAAACCTGCTACATGATATATGCTTGCTTACTATTATTTAATTCCCTTGTGCAGTGTGATGTGAGAAAGCTTTCTGATTAGAAACTGCTTTGTTTGACATTTTTTTCCACAGCATCCTCAAATTAAAAATGTTCATCCTTCATTTGTCTACTAAACACATCATTATTTTATTTATTTATTTTTATTTCATGTGCAACCATCACCATGTAACTTGATAGTTACATAATGAAATAGTTGTTGATAATCTAAGTTTCATAAGTTTGTGGAGGTGTTTTTTGGGGATTTTTTTCAGTTGTTTTGAAAAAAAAAAGTTGGCTGTCACAGCAATTGAACACAGGGATAGAAGTCAGGCATTTTAACCACTAATCTATACAATTCCACTCTACTAAATGATACCATAGTGCTGATTAATTTTTTTCTTGTTGCAAGACTTTCAATATTACACGTTATTTTCACCCCTCTGTAGGCACCACTGGGCCAGAGTTATCACAAATGTTCCCAACACCGCCCTCATTAGAACAGCAGCACACAGCTTTTTCTCCAGTCACACCGGGTACTGTGGAGTACACAAATCCAGGATCAGCAGGCATGACGATACTTGAACCACCGGTAATGGTTAATGGTGAGCTGACGGAGGTCGAGGTTGATGAGGATATGGGAAGCCCAAAACCTCATATCATAGAGGTAAAATAAATGTTATTTAAATTCTGAATACGATTTATTATAATTAGTTAAATTTAATTTTGTTTTTATTGTCAATACAAAATATGTATTTTAAGGACGGGAAACATTTGACTTGAATTAACAAATACAATTTTATCTCCTTTTTTTTTTAGTTGTATTGTCCTTAATTTTTTAGTTAAATTGTTCAATTGTGCAGCACACCCTTTGTAAACGAGTATCTGTGTAAAATATAAATGTTGTTATTGTGTCGTATTTACAACAATATAAGCGCTTAACATAAAGCTTATACAGAAGATGTACCAGTAAGGATTCACAATTTTATAATTTCACTATTTAGTCTATTATACAAGTAGAACATTTATTAATGTTCAAGTTCAACAGAACCATTTCATTTTTGTGATTATTCTGTGTTTTTTTTTTCACCTTTTATTAAGGATTGGACATATGTATTCAAGGTGTCACAGGTGGAGAAATTTGTAGGACCAAGTATGTATGCACCACTCAAGAATCTACCTAGCTCCAAGCTACCACCCTTTAGAATTCCAGATAATTGCTACTATAAGGCATCTTGGCAGGTAAGACATCAATCGTTAGCCCTCTCAGTATAGATTCAATTTGTAGTAATTTGAGTCGATAAAGAATTTTAAAGGTAAAGGTAGGAGAACTCGCAGTATCATTATGCTGAATTGTGTGTGGCTGTAAAGACGTGCTTATAGTAGCTGCATATTCACATTATTCCACGATGGCTGAAATGAAACCATATCATCGGGATAAACACCTTAATCTTTTTCAGTGGAACGACTCATCCATTTTAGGGTTGATATATGTATTTTTTAAGATTGTTAGAACTTACAATTGTTGGTTTTTTTTTTTTTTTCTTAAAGCTTCCCTCTACAAAAGTGGACTACCCGATGTCAATTAAAGATAGCCTGATGGTTGGGTTGATACACATGGACCATGGTCCTGGAAGCGTGGCTCGTCCAGCATCAGTTGCCTCAATGAGCATGCAATCGCCAGCCACTTTTCAGGAGCCGAGGAGTGCGCATAACCTTGAGTTACAGAGTCCTGCATCGGAGGCATCATCGTATGTGAAAAACTTGAACTCCATCGAAGCACCGGCGTCGACAAGCGTTTATCCTGAGGTTGATAGCGTTTTGGTCAATTTAATCCTGTCCGATTCACTCATGAATATTTATAAGGATCGTAATTTTGATAGTTGCGTGATTTGCGCGTGTAATATGAACATAAAGGGTGCAGATGCGGGGATGTACCTTCCCGACAACTTTGCCCATAATCAGTACAAATGTGTGTGTGGCTTCAGTGCGGTTATGAACCGAAAGTGCGCTCTTGTGAGCGGCCTGTTTGCGGAGGATGAGTCTGAAGTGACCGGACAGCCCTTGAACGGTGCATTGTGGGCATGCTCTAAAGCGGGGCTAAATATGAACCCTACGACGGGGAAAGACACCGTCACAAAAGGCGCTGGGAAAGATTCAGTTCTCAGTACAACAGAGAACCTTGTTAAAATGCTTCAGGAACAGTGTAACTCGCCTTACTCTACATTGTGCAGATTAAACAGTATTAGAAGCAGGAGTGGCCATAGTCATATGGAAAAGTTAAAGTTACATTTTGAAATAGAAGGTATGAACCATTAACTAAAATTATTAACTTGTCTATTAGATCAGGTCATATAGCCAATGAGTGGAAAGTGCACGTGTTGTACCAGTTTTTAAGAAGGGAAACAGCACAGACGTGGGGAACTACCGTCCCGTCTCCATATTTAACGTAGTGTTAAAAATAGTTAATGAGTTATCCATGACCAATTTATGAGTTATCTATGTAATACATCGTTATTATGAGTTAGTCTGGATTCAGACCATCGTTTTCAACAGACTCTTGCCTGATTCACTTGTCAGACCACATAAAGAAAGAATGTGACCGTGGTATCTTTACTGGTATGGTGGTTTTAGACCTAATGAAAGGGTTCGACACAGTGAATCACATTATTTTATTGGGAAAGTTGAAAGGGATAGGTCTAGCTGATCAGACAGTCTTATGGTTCGACTCTTATCTTAGGGATCAGAATCAAATAGTTGATATTGACGGTTCATTATCAAATCTAAAATCAGTCATAGAGTCCCCAAAGTTTTATTTTGGGCCCCGCCTTTTTTTTTTTAACATTAACGATATGGTTTCTGCTACTAGTTGTAAATTATTGCTCTGTGCGGAAGATTCGGCTCTGGTAGTTTCTCATAAAAGCGTTTATTTCATACAAAATCGACTTGAACAGGAACTCAGATCAGTTAATGATTGGCTGATAGATAATAACCCTACATGTGGGTCGATCCTGTTTGGGACAAAAAGGAGTCAACCAGAGATGAAAATACATTGCTCCGAAATTATAAATAAAACCAATTTTAATTATTTAGGGTTGGATTTTGATCAAAATTGGAGTGGAGAGAACATTGCCTTCAAAGTAATAAGAAAGGGTAATTAGTCGAACAAAATTTCTTTATAGAAATAAGTATTTTGAAGCTCCTTGCCTCAACACTTATTCTTAGTCATTATAAAAACCGTAGAAGTATGCTATTCTGGTTTAAAATAGTAAAAATAAATGTCAGACCGCTCAGAATAAACTTATAAGATGCATTCTAAGTTTGAAACCTAGGTCACATGTTGGGTTGAAGGAATTCTAGATACTGAACTGGTTACCGGTTGATCTCTGCGTAGTACAAAATAAGTTAAATCATATGTTTAGAATTTTGAATGATGCATGCATGTCCAGAACATTTTAAAAAAAAGGGGATTGTGAGGGCAAAAAAAACGTACATAATTATAACACAAGCTTTGCAAATTTTTCAATTTTTAGAGATAAACAAGGTAATAATTGTAAATCCACTTTGCCTTTGGAACTTGCTACCTAATCTGATTCAGGAAAGTAATAATATATCAATCTTTAAAAAGAAAAAGAAAGAGTTTAAACTTAAACTTATAATAATACTGTATTTATTTATTTATTTTTTGTGTTTGTGTTAGTTATCCTTTCAGGGACCACAATGAAAATAGGTCGGCCGTTTGGCTACTTTATAGTGTATTTATCCAAGAATTCCTTTGTTATTTTATTTATTATTGTATGTGATTGTTCGTGAATTCTAAATAAAAACAAAATGAACAAGCAAAACATGCAAATTATAGTTTAAAAAAAAAAAAAAAAATCTGCGATGTTGATAAAATGTAATATGGTGAGATTTAATATATTCCATAATACTGTACACAAAGATGTGGCATAAATGAATGAATGTCCTAATGAATAATTAATATATAAACAAACTAAAAAATGAGAAATTGCTCTATTTCGTTACATATATTCAATTCAGAATTTTTTACTTAATGATTACAAATTTATTGGTTATAAAGTTATTGGAATGTTGATGTTGATTTTTTTTTTTTATATAAATACCCAATACAGTGTTTTTATTTATCCATGCTTTTTTTCCAGCTTAAGAGTATATCTTATATTTTGCTCATGAATATTCATACTGTTTCTAATGACTGACATTTTTCACTTATTTTATCTAGATGGCTGTGAAGCGTGCTATACAGCTATCGAAGAGGGTCGTCAATTTGCTGAGTTCGGTAGTAGTCGTCCAAGTCATGTCTTAAAAACGGAACTCTTACACAGATGGGCATTCACTTGCCGTAAGTTTATATTTTACCATTATTATACATTTATTATTTAGATACTTTTACCTGTATGAGTATATATTATTTTTACATTAATATTTAATAAATATATATGAATAATCAATAATTTTTTTCCATTTTTAATGTTGCCTCTTGTATATTAACATTAAGAATCATTAAAGTGAAACTAATGAAACATGAGAATAATGTTTAATAATTATAAAAAATTTTAATAGGAATAATTTTTATACAAATATAATGTTTATATTTTGAGCTTTTCTTAATTGCTCATACACCGGTGATTTTGCAGCATACCCACTTCCGTTAAGTGATTAAGACTAGCTTTTTATTATAAATAATTGTTGTCGATGTGACCTATTATTTTGTGATGTCATCATCGACCAATCAACAGTGAATTATGAGTCCTATTAACGTATTCATACACATGGATGTAGGTTGAATAACTTAGGCCTTGATTGTATCATTCCAAAGCATGTCGCCATATATAAATCCAGAAACCATCAATAATTCATAATTATGCATGCTGTAATTTTGTGACAAAGTACATTTTTCTGATAACAACTATAATAATAAATGTAAGTGGAAACTTGTATAAAAATGACAATGTACTGTTAATTGCTATGCTCATCAAAGGAGAGGTACACTTAGCTGTTACAGGAGGCCTAGTACGCGCATACAATATTTATTGCATGCCAAAGATTATAATTTTTCCATATTTTAATAATCATAATAAATTTTATTAATTAATGATTATAATCATAATAATAATTGTAAGTTTGATTTTAATCATTTTTATTAAAAGATTTTGAATATTATATTATAGATATAACTATTATAATAATTATTGTAATTTTAATATTATTAGTTATAAATAATAGTAATAATTATAATAATACAAATAATTATAATTATTACAATTAATATCAAGAATAATTAAAGTATATATAATAATTAGGTTAATATGTATCATATATATAAAAAAAATGTTTACGAATTTTATTTTTAATTAATGCATAGCATTGTAATCAAGAAAAATAAAAATGGTTTTATCATTTAAAAAAAAAGATCAAACTAAGTCTCGAGTTCACTTATAAGCATTTTCTTGTGCACATTAATATTTCTGTCTACCTAAAGTCCTTGATTTGTTGAGTCATCCGTGACATTGTTATCAGATATGATCACTATTGTACAGTGATTGAATTTGACAGTTTGCAATTTGACGTGTGTAAACTTTCCAAAACAATGGAGCATCCACAACTATCGTGTAACCCGTCGATTTCGCAGATTAACCTTAATCTGCCCAAAAAAGCATTTCATTACCCTTTTTCAATGATGAAAAGTTTTAGAATAAAAAAAAGACAGACTGATTATTCTGTTAATGAATATCTGCACTCAGTAAATTTCCTGTAACTCAATAATTATTTTTAAATGAAAAAGTTAATAAAACATACTAGGTATATAAAAGAATTGCTTGTATTATAGTAGAAATTTCATGTCAATATGGAACAGTGATATTGACATACATATGAAATGTAAAGGTTCAAGTCATTGTTCTTGTGTATATGACAATAATAGTAATATATACAATGTATTTTTTATATATTTATGTTTAATATATATCATATTAAGCATAAGTATATAATAAATACATTTTCTATGCTATATATTTAAGTTTAATGAGATTATACACTTCAAAATCCACTGACAATGACAGAATGTTGCTTCAGTCAAAACCTTCAAAATAATACTATTAAGGATAGGTTAAAGAAATAATTTTGCAAAACAAACACAGACATATTGTGAGAGTTTCAAGTTTACATGCGCTGGTATTAAGAGTAAGAATTGTGATCATTATTATAGATTAAATGTATTTTTAAAAATATATATAATTCAATATTTTTCTTAAAAATTTTTGATTTTTTAGATCCTCAGAAAAACTGTTTAACGACACAGGGACTGATGAGGGCGCTGTCATCCATGCAGCCGTTGTTGCAAGATGCTGTACTGAAACGTGGCAATAGAAGAGCCTGGGAGAAAGTCTACACTGTTCAGGGACCTTTGACCTGGCAATTTTTCTTTAATTGTGCCATCAAAGGTATGTAACTATGATGATAAATATAAGAAAGGGGTTGTTTATTTAACTGTGTATGTTTTTGCCCATCCATTAATTCAGCCAGACAATGCATCTGTCGTTGAATCCAAATATGTCTGTCTGTTTTCCTTTTCCTTTCATTTGTTCCTTCGTTTGTCCATTCATTAACACAACCATGATTCAGCCATCTGGTGTTCTCAAATTGTAATGACTGTCAATTATCGTTTTGTCTAATACAGGTCCTCAACAATCTTCGCAACCATTACCCATTCCACCGTTACTGGTAGGGCATGACAAAGAGTGGCTGTCCTTCTCACCCTATGCACTCCGTAAATGGGTAAGTGACTAATATACCATATAGTAAGCATAACCCCCATGCCTAAGATCTAACCTAGAATCTGTGCCCAAGATTTAAGCTAGAAGTCAATTGAACACCATACTGTAACTCCCAATGTTATTTTTTTTATCCCAAACCATGTAAATTTTGCAGACCCTCTGGAGTTTTTTTCATGCGTTAATCTAAACTTTGTATAATAATTTCCTCTAGTGTATTATTATGATACGCAACCACTAATTGCTTATTAAATTACTATAGCACCTGTGTTGAAGGTCTAAGCTAACACTTATTTGCCTAAGATCTAATCCAATAATTTATGTCTTTAATATTATTGGTATAAGAATATGTCCCTAAGATGTAAGCTATTACTTCTGTGCCTAATATCTATTCTAGGACTTCTATTCCTAGATTTAAGGAAGTATTTCCATTCCTAAGATCTACTACACTAGTTGTTTTGTCCCTAGGAGTTGGTGCCTAATCCCAAGGTCAATTTAATATAGCTACATAGATGTCTGTATTGCTCGCATATAATTGCAACAAAAGTCTATAAATTGACATTCTAATTTGTTAAAAAAGAATTACAAAAAATTAAAAGCAAGATTGAGTGCCATTTTGAAATTATATAGAAAAAACCAAAAAAGAAAAAAATTCCCTTAAAATTATGTGTGTTCCAATGCATTGGTAGGGTTAAGATTATAGATAATGATATTTTGTTTCTCAAGTGTTTGCTGATTGTTTCTTCTAATGATTCCCATGTATTTTTCCCCACAGGAGAAATTATTACTTGAGCCTTACAGTTGCCCACGAGACATCGCATATTTAGTTGTAGCCCCTGACGACAAATTCATTCTCCAAAAGGCCAAGGCATTCTTCAAAGAGCTTAGTGCAGTCTACGAGGTAAGTAAAAGCCATTGACGTCAGTTCTCTTCCTTTATTAATGTTTAATCTTACCTGCGAAAGAGCAAGTCTCTAAATTTGCTAAATCGCATGATCTTTCTTTTATTGTGTTTCTATGCCTCTAAGCTTTTGAAATTAAACAAGTCCTGAAAGTCAGTGAATTTATTGCGTCATCACAGATTTACCATTCGGTAATCTATTGATACCAAGCTTTCGTTCTAAAGTATATAATATACCAATGATTTCATCAACACTTCTCTGTCTTAGAACTCCATATAACATAAAGTCATTGAACAACGTGTGGATTAAGTTACGAATCTGTAAGCGATTACTTTAATAAACGACAAGACTTTAGAAACTCACAACTACTGTGATTATATTTTCAGACCTGTAGATTAGGAAGGCACGTTCCAATTGCTTATAAACTGCGCGACGGTATTTATCGCATCGGAAAGAAAGCAGCCGCTAAGCTCCATCACGAGCCTGTTGACAGCTGGTTCACAGATTTGGGTAAGTTACTGATTGTTACTTTTTGTTTCTAATTATTTCTTACGATTCCATCCATAATTACACTAATGAATTACAGGACAGAACTGTCTGATGCTCAGATTAACTAAAGCCCGGTTTGGATTATAATTTTTTTTTTAGTCTAACAAACTATTTATTTGGTAAATATGATGTAGCCTGTGTAATATTCTCTTTGATAAATTTAAGCTATGTGGTAATTTATTTATTCAGCTTCAGGCGCTAGGGCCAAGGAAAGATATTAAAGCTGTATGTTGCGGCACCCCTGCCTCAACGACTCGGCCATTTAACTCACCTTTGTTAATGCTTGGGAAGATTACCCCGGGAGTTTTTCAAAGCAAATAAGCTGTGCTTAATAAAGAACCTCTTTGCATATTTTGTACACCTAAAAGTTTTGATTTTGGTTTTTTCTATATTCTAATGCACGCTAATAGTTAATCTTTAGGAAGTCAGTTTTCGTATATGAAATTGTATTTAGCCTTGTTCTTTGTAAAACTGAAGCATATATTACTGCAAGAGGTCCCATTCTCTGGGTTTCATTTGAATGCAATCCTATCTCAAATCAGTACTACCACGAACTAGAAGGCGTCATTCAAAAAAACGTCAAAAGCGTTGAACACATACTTCGTTTATAGAACATATGTTTGAGTTTCGAACGCTATTCTAATAGGGCGCCCCCTATCTTGTGGTAATATTTTGTTCAACGTTTCATTGCGTGCATACAAAATCAGGGCAGTCAAACCTCTTGCAATTCTCTACTCTTGGGTGAAAAACATTGCATTTTCATATAGAAATGCAAACAGTGTACAATGTAAACAAGGTAAAAAAAATAAAATCAATGAATAATTTTTCCTGACTTAGGTTCTCATCCAGATGCTTCTAAGTTAAAGCTGTATGCTCAAGTCTGTAAACATCATGTTGGTAAGTTGATATTAGTAAAAATTCGGAAATGCTGTGTTTTTATCTATTTAATAACCTCTGAGAATGATTATTTCAAATTAAAATTATCCTTTTTTGCATCTTCAGCATATTTTCGTGCAAAAATAATTTAAGCTCATGCACTCATATTTTGATTTTCTTGTCAATAAAATTTTATATTTATTTTCTCCTTCACCATTTTTTACCCCATCGCTCTCGTCAGGATTTTTTTTAAGAGTGGCGGAATTTCAGAAACAAAACTCTTAGACTCGAAATTTGAGTAGAATTTTTTTTTCTCAATTTATTTTAAATTTTGAAAATTTTACTGGGGTGGGATGGCTGTCCCCTACCCTGAATCAGCCACTAAATTATGTACACTTAAATTATGAAGAAATGGAAAGAATTCATCAAAACTAGTACCTACATGATGGAATCTGTTATAGTACTGTACAAAGGTGCGTACACTAAGTGTTGATGGGTGATAAAGATTTAAACATTTTCAATCGCGGTATAATTTCTTCTATAACGATTAATAACTGTTAGTTGTCGGTAAAACTTTCACTAAATAGGCAATGGTTTAAATTAGCATTGCCATTTTTTTTTTCTTTTTTTTGGAATACCCAGTCAAAATTCTGTATATATATTTTTTAAAATGTGATTCACATTGAAATCGCGTAAATTCAATTAATAGGCCTAAATGTTATTTTATCAATCACGGTTCATAAAAAATGGTCACTTTACTAAATATATTGTGATCACCACTAGTGTACAATACTGAACATGCAATATCCTATCTACTAGCCGACCAGGGACCACCTTCCTGAGTTCACAGGTACCTACTTGAGTACGCATAAGCGGCGTGCAAAGAGATTCTGCAGTTGGACTTGCATTGAAAGCGGTGCCTCGCGATATGCGATTGAACAAGTACTGTTCCCCATGAGAACGTTGTGGAACTGCCTGCAGTTCTACACTTCGGTATTTATTTATTCTAACGTTTTGAATAAAATATACTTAGTCTATTTCTTTTTAGCATGGGGCTAATATTTTAATCTTTGCTTATTTTGCCTAAGCGTGGCCATAATTTTTTTTTTTTCGCACAAGAGTGGCGGCCCTGCCACGCTTAAGTATAGCTGGCGAGACCCCTGTTTACCCTCTAAATATATTTTAGAAGCAAACTTTGCAAAATAAGGTATAAAAATAGCCTTAGGATACCTCAATTAACTACTATAATTTGTGTCTTTAAATATTTTGGAAGTATATTTACCAATATTTTTTTTTCATTTATACAGCTCCATTCCTAATGAACGAACAAATCGACCAGACCATATTCTCACGAGGTCGACCGGAGCGAGTCAGTGGTGGTGGTGGTGGTGGTGCAGGAGCAAAGGCCAACAACACCAGCACCAACATGTACAACTCAACAGCAGCAGGGGGCAGAGATGGTGACATGGGACCCCCAGCTGCCCCAGCTCAAACAGGTATTAATTTGTGTAATAATTTGTATTTAATTTTATACATATTAAATTTTTGTATATTTTCTTCATTTTTCACAATTATTCAGAATGTAGTTGATGGATAACTAAATATATAAGAACAGAATAAGCATGGGAAAGGGCATGCTTATTGCCATTAATCGTGTTTATCATTTTGATGCGTGTTATATGTGTAGTGTTAATCTCAACAATGTTTTACCCACAGGGTGTCAAGATAATGCAGAGGTTGTCGATAACAAGGAAAACCCCAGCTTCTCTTTATCGGGCGACAACACCGACAACATCCATCCTCCGGCAATCGTCATCTACATGATCGACCCATTCTCTTCCAATTACGAACCGGCAGGTGAATACAACACGTTAGCTACTGTGGGCCTTGTACGATGCTTCATGGAGATGTTCAGGAACCTCGACGAGAAGTTAAAGCGCTCTGTTGTTTTGCAGGTTAGTCTGGGCACCTTGAGTGTACCTATAATATATCTTAACCTTATTGATCCCGAGGTATGTGTACAGGTTCTTATCACTTGTTGTGGCGCTAGGGAGGTGTTTTGCTTCTCGAATGTCACTAGCACAACCTCATAGGGTCAGAGATTAAACTGAAGTGTCATAGTTCTGATGAGACATTTTCTTGGCTCATCAGTCTCCACTCTCTGCAACAAAGTTGTTAAATAAATAAATATAGTTAATTTATATGTTATGTATATAACAAAGTAGTTTACTAATATTTTTTTTAAATTTTTTTTTTAAATATTTTTTTTATTTTAATAATTTTTTATTTTTTTTATTTTTTTATTTTTTTATTTAATATTTTTTTATTTTTCACGGTTTCTCCCGTGTGGATCAGTTGTGTAACCTTAACAAGACTGGCCTAGTGGCACACAGCAACATTATACTATATAAATACATAGACTGGTTTGATATTCTCGAGTCTCGGTCGTCTCTTAGGTGCTAGGTATGGCTAGGCCTAGATGGAAGCATTGAGGCCATGGTCTGGGCAACATGTAGAGTATGGTTTCCCCAAGGTCGAGTTTCTACTGTAATGTAAAATTCAGTTTGTAATATACAATGTTCTTTTTTTCGTCTTTGTGGCAGATTGTTCCAGTGTCCAAAATAATCCATACAATGAACAGCGACCTCAATAGTCCATCACTGGATGATACCAAATGCCTAGCCTTCTCCGTGTTTTCGCAGTGTAGAAAGATTGTGACGCCAACGCTACTTAGTAATAGCATGACAGGGTTTGGACCAACGGCAGAGTTGGAAGCAATTCTGAAATCAAAGGGGGTAGGTGTTGCATTTCAATACTTTAGCTGGCTATTTCACTCAGCTCTACATTTAGAATCAGTTATTTTAAAAACGTGTGGACACGTATTAACGATGTATTTAGGACCAGTAGTAAATTAATATTTAGTAAATAATGCTATATTTAAACTGTTTATTTCATTTTGACTCAATCTGTGCCCTTGGAACCATCACATTTGCTGCTTTTTACTCTCTTATGGTTCATTAATTATATTTGCTTATTGTAGCATATTTGATAATTACTCTCCCAGTGTTTGTAAATATGTCATTTCTGATGATTTAATAAAGTTAAAAAGTTGGGTAATTATGGCTTTACTTTCTCTTTTTGGAGTCACTTTTAAAGTCACATTTTTAAATATATACTTAACTGAAATAAATAGACTTCTAATTGAATTTCTAATTTTATTATCTTCTCATCAGCTATGTCTTTACTAAGTGACTTAAATATTTTTTACTTTATTCTTTTCTCTCTGGTTGTGGTGCAGGACTCAGCTTCCCATCTACAGAGGCTATATACGCCACCCTACGTGCTAGCACCAATTAAGGACAAACAGACCGAACTAGGGGAAACATTCGGGGAGAGACAGCAACAGTGGGGGGAGCTGTTCTGTGTTTATTGTTTATCACATGACCAAAGATGGATTCTCGCCACATGTACTGATAACAAAGGCGAGACTATGGACACTAAAGTAATCAGCATTGACGTGCCAAATCATACGCGCCGTAAAAAGGTCTCTGTACGGGAGATCGCCTTAGGCAAGGTCTGGGATTTTATGATGGAGGTGATGTGTAAAGCTGCCCATCCATGGAGGCTAGTGGTTGGCAGGTTTGGACGGCTCGGCCATGGAGAGCTCAAAGGTATCGGCTTTAATTATTAAATACAGGTCCCCCTCCAATTATAGACCACTTATGGAACCGAGGTTTACATGGTCTTTAGCAGCTTTGATCTCTAATGAGAATAATAAAGACATTTGTTAATATGGGACTACAGAAAAGTGGTCTTTCATCAGAAGTGGTCTTTAATTGGAGGGGTCTTTAATTAGAGGGAGTAATACAGATACAGTAGAACCCCTCATTTACGTACGGCACGGGCCCATAGCCGTTCTTAAATGCGGGTATTCGTAAAATCGGGTTGACCCAAATTCATATATATTTGCACTGGTACTACTTTCACTAGCATAAACTAGGCCTAGGCTAGGCCTACAGGCCTACGCAGCTAAGTCTAAGGGGGCCTAGGCCTACAGTAGGCAGCTTCTAAGCATTCTGATCCCACTCTAGGTCCTACATAAATTTGTTTTTATCGGACATTTTAACCTTCTTAAATACCTAGATTGTGGATTTTACTCCAACACAACTTCCATAGATACTTGTTTATTATATATTGATCATTCAATAAAACAATCAAGTACTATGTTGAATTTTAAAGCTGAAAACGATGTTTGAAAGAGAAGTAAAATTTGTCGCATGCACATGTGTGAAGCCATAAAAAACACTGGCTTTGAAGAGACCCGTTAGAGGGCCTCCTTCACTTGAGAATTACATAGTACTGTATAGTATGGTGTGTTGTGTTGTATGCATGCTAATAACAGTTACAATTCGAGCATATTTTTTTTTTTTAATCTTTCACTTAAATTTTTATGATGTCATCACCTTTATTTTACGTTCGTAAAATCGAGAATTCGTTAAATTGGGGTTCGTAAATGAGGGTTTCTATTGTAGTTGGTGATAATGAGGATGATTTGAGATTTTGGGAATGTTGCACTTAAGCAACACAAGTTTTTTTTTTTGTAAGGCTGACCTCGTTAAGTTTTTTTTTTTTGTAAGGCTGACCTCGTTAAGTTTTTTTTTTTCTGTAAGGCTGGCCTCGTTTGTGATATTGAGCATGGTTTCTCCTGACTCAGGGGTTAGATGTGTTCCTCATAGTTTGTGAAGGGATTGTACAGAGGTCGTTATGACTTGAGTTTATGGAATGGAATAAATGAAGGACCAGACTAAACTTAATGCTTCTTTCAATTTTAGGCATTAAGTAACTATTAAACACACACATATTCACAAATAATACTACAGAATAACCCTTTGTTTTTTTTTCTTCCCATAGATTGGAATAAGTTGTTGAATCGTAAGTCGTTGGCAAAGCGGACCCAGCAACTTCACGGGTGTTGTAGTATGTGCAATATAACCAATAATTCAGAGATTCCTTGCATACTTAGTGCCTGCCTTGTGTCAATCGAACCCGAGGCTACCCTCAAGCTCATGTCAGGTAAAGTTTGCGCTCAAATCGCTAGTTATTGCCGCAGATTCCCCAGTAAGAGGTCCGTAATGAGTGGTCCAAAATCTTGACATGGGGTCCGTAATCACCTCTGTCTCAATGTGGATGGAGAACATTTTTAAGATAGGTACCTTCTTCCCTCGATGGGGGGTTAAAGGTTCTCTGTCGTCGGTCCTGTGCCACTCTGAGGCCCAGCTGGCACTGGCCCTACCACTGTATTGCATTCATAGTTTTCAATAACTTTGCATTAAGTACACCTATATGCAAGTGTGTCTTCTCTTTCTAAATGTTAATGATATTAAAAAATAAACCTAATCAATTAAAACATTGAATTGTTTAATTAAAAACATACTACCTGTATATAATGTGATGAAATCTGGACAAAACCTTTTAAAAAGAAGTTTCCCTGCAGAAATAATTAACATTGTTACCAGAAAATTTAAGAGTCTATGTAAAAAAATATAAGAATGGTGTTATTTGTGTTTGTAAAATGGTGGGAAAACATTATTCTAATTCTAATTTCCAACTTGATAATTTACTTACAAGTTTTTCAATGTGTTAGCTTACATAGCAATACATTTTAGAAGAAAAAGTCTTTAAAGAATAGGTACCAAATAGTATATTTAATATATTTTGACATTAAATCTTGCTATTAAATCTGTGAACTTTATTCTACATATTTATTTTGTAGTATTGGTTACTGTGGCATAACGTAAAACAGTTTGTAATCATTTACATCTCTTGTAGATTCAGCAGCCGATAAGCTAAGTAAAGTGAGCCAGGTTCAACAGTCGAATAATACCCTGAGCACCCCTAAGGACGCCACCTGCACCCACATCCTCGTCTTCCCAACTAGTGCTACCACCCAAGGGGTCACTCACAATGACCATGCATTTGATTCGATCAGCGAGAGCATGCTTCAGGCGGATGGTCTCCTAGAGCTTGGCCAAGACGAAGGGCCACTAGATTTTGCCAAACTTTTTGATCTGCCTTCTTCTCCCGGTCTGGAGGATGCCATGATGGACGAACCTCTTCAAACGAATGCTGCCTCATCACCCACTCATAGACAGAACTCATTCCAAGGTGCAGATCCAGCGGTAAAGGTACGGCGGACTTCTTTACGAGATGGGCTTCTTTGCAAGATTAATTTTGCAAACTAATGAGGGGGCTTTTCAAAATGAATGCTGTTAAATATATAAAATTGCTACTGTACAACTAAGGACATTTTTCAACCATCGAAATATAATTTAATAAATGTGTGTAACTTATATGAATTATATTAACAATTTTCAATCTTCCAGTGAATTTATATAACCAGTCTCTATTGCTCCTGTGTAGTTAAAATGTATTTTAGTTGTGAGAAAATATCTTGATGTCGCAGTATTTGAACTTTGGACCTTGTGATTGGAAAGCATGCAGCCTAACCACCAAGCTCCAAACTAGGCGAAATAAAACTAAAACCATGTTTTGTTTTTGTTTTTTTCTTATTTAGAATCCCAGCGGTCTTCATGTTCTTCAGAGTGAATCTGAAGAAGCAGTTCTTCAGCAACCACTTGCCCTGGGCTACTTCATCTCCACCGCTCAGACTGGTCCACTACCCAAGTGGTTCTGGGCTTCCTGTCCCGAAGCTGAAAACAGTTGCCCCGTCTTCCTGAAAGCTGCTCTGCATGTGAACACATCAACGGAACACCAGAGCCAAGATCCATTGCAGGCCAACAAGCAATCTTGCCATCCTCTAGATTCAAACCTTACCACTGATGTCCTTAGGTAAGGTGCTTCTCTTAATCCAATACTCGCTAATAAACTGTAGTTTATAAAAGATAACAATGTATTTTGCTGTTGTTACTGCTGCTGCTGTTGCAAGGAATAATGTGGTAAAGCAGTAAGGCACCATGGTTCCAATCAAAAGATCAGTGGTTTGAGTCTGAAGTCGGCATCATGTTCTTGTCCTCTTTGGGCAAAGCAATTTATCCACATTTCATCTTTCCTCACTGGAGAGACAATTTACTAGCTACAAATGTTAAGATTTCTCCCTCAGTGAACTAATGTTTATATTCCATAAGAACTTAATCTAATGCATTGGATATTAATGGGAAGACATAAATACGTTTTTAGTAAGGCCCAAAAAAATAAATGTTCTGTCTCTGGTCAGCGCGCGCATCGATTTAGACACTGCGCATCAATTTTTTTTTTTTTTTTCCCTGGACATACAACATCGCCACCTATTCCGAATTTTGGGGTGCGGCTTATCCATTCTAGGTTAGGCCATTGCTAGCCCAATTAATTAGCCTAGGGTAGGGCCGGTTTGTAGGCCTAGTATTTGTAATTATACTACAGTGCATGCTGTACTAGGATTCCTACTACGATTTCTACGACATTCAAGCAATAGTTTGGGTTGTCTAAATCATTCATTCATAAACAATTTTGAAACATGCTGTTCGAAACTACCAAACTACTTTTCGCGAATTTGATCCTGGGTCACGTGAGCAGCTTCATTTACGAATGTCGCAATAAAACACATGTGGGCAGGTTGTTGAAACTTGCTGTTTGACGTTCCGGGTTCCCGGTGGCTTGTACCGTTATAGAGAGAATGATCCGCTAAAATGTCAGAATAAAAACTTGTGAAATTAATTTATGCTATAAAAACACAAGTTTTCTTGTGTTGTAATAATTATTTTACTTGAATTTGACTTTAGAAAGGCATTCGTCATCTGCGCATGCGTAAACTTTGTATCGCACGAGATTTTCTCCACTTCTGTTTTTGTTTATAAAACGGGGTGCGTGATGAGTGCATGCTTCGCACAATTGGCTGTGAGTAGTCATGACTTAGGCCTGGAATTACCAATATATTAAGCTTAATACGACTGTTATTAGTCACCATAATAATAGAATGATTGTTTAAAATAGATAAATATACTCAATAAGTATTTTATTTTCTTAGATTTTATTAAACTAAACGGATGTTGAAATTTTAACGTAGCGCGACCGTCTAGCATGAAATGGGGATTTCCCCAGAGCAGAATACTTGTTTCATTGCGGTAGCCTGAAGTTTACACGCATTTCCAGTTGTTTGTCATCTTTTTCAATAGAAAAAGATGAAGTTTGTAACGGTTTGGGGCTTAAAAAATAGATGTGGCTTATACACAGCTAGGTGGCCAAAAAAAATCGTGATTTTTCGCGTCCTAATTAGGGGTGCGGCTTATACACAGGTGCGACTTATACACCGTAATATAAGGGACCTTTTGGCATTTTATCTTGCGATACCGTAGCTCGGCGAGTTTGCCAAGCGTGTAAGTATGTGATGAAAGTCCGTCGTCCTCCCCAAGAAGGTGAGCGACATTTGCACCCGGGATCGAAGAAAGTCACGGCTATGGTGGGATCATCGGCCGTCGGATTTTTTCAAAGCATACCCATTAATGCTGATAATGATGATGAATTAAGACGGGCCCCTTAGCAAATAAAGCGAAATCGAGAATGTGGAAGGACAACAATGTATAGCATTAGCAGAACATAAAAAAGATACTAAAAACACCTTTTCTGTACTTTCCATGCTTTTCAAAAAAAAAACGCATCGCCCGCATCAATTCTGTAACTTTGGTCTGACCAGAACCAGAACATTTTTTTTTTTTTTTGGCCTAATCTGATGTAATTATTAATGTTGATGTGAAAGAAATCTATCCAATGCTATTGGAATCTAGAAATATTTAAACTTAGTAGTGCATTACCTCCAAGCCACTGTATATTTAAACTACCGTAACTTCATAACGAAATGTCGGATTTAAAGGATTCTCTAACCATTTTATAACTTTCATTTTACTGCTTAACTCTGTATTAATAAATTAATAACTAAAAATGGATTTGCTTGTCTTTGCCACATTTATTTTTTCTTTAATGTATAGTTATAATTGACGATAAATTTCTGGTCACTATTTCAGGTATGTGCTTGAGAACTACAACAATCTGTCATGGCTGTCGGTAGATCCTGCAACCGGAGACCGCCAATCCTGCCTTCCTGTCCATATATTAGTACTCATGCAGCTGTATAACACTATAGCAGCTCTTCTCTGATTCGCTCCACCAGTTGTGAAAGCAACAGCCACATGAAAATTCGCCAATAAGAGCTGTCATTGTTTACTTGAACGACGGTAATGCCAGCAACAAAGGGGATGATGCAAGTGCCATCAACATAATCCAGTTTATTACCATGTGTATTTTGTGATTAATTATTATCTATGGTTTGAGTTTGATAAATCTGCCAATTTTTTTTCATCTAAAACAATATTATTATTGATCCAAAATTCAATACATCAATTTATTTATCAAATTCAATCAGTTGGTACAAAAAATTGCAATCGAATAGTACCATCTGAATATGCAAAATTTGTACCAAGAGGTTACTATGTAGTTTTTTGTGTATGTATGGGCATTATGATTATGCACATAATGTAATTGTCCAAAATATATAGAATATGGAATAGTCTGGTTGAAAAATGAAAGTAATGCTGCCCTCAAAGTCTACAAGTAATTTTTTTTTCTCCTGCAATGTGCCTTGGTAATGTACTGTACGTTCCCGACTGTTTTTAGATGCGTGAAAGTTGCACCAGTTAAGAACGCTAATTGTTTTCCAGCCCTTTTTCTTTCAAGAGTGTTATCCATTGTTGAAACCAACTCCTTCATGTTTAGCATTTATCAGAACAAGTCTTTCCGAACCTAATTTGATTAACAGTGCTTCATCATTTTTGCTTCATCTACATAATGTCAGTCTTAGTATTCAATCACCTGATACGCTGAAATATCCTGATTATATCTGAATGTAAAGCTTGCAAATTATGTTTTAATAAGAGAAAGCTTACTTCTCAGGAAAATTATTTTTTTTTTGTATCATTGTTCTGATAACTGAAAATAGTGCTTGCGTCTTTTGTGTTGTCTTCTGTCTATAAATCTTATTCTCGGGTTGTCTTGAGTTTTTCTTTGTCGGGTTTATGATGAGTTGCGCTCTAATATACTTTGTGTTTTTTGTTAAAAAATTTTCACCGGAGAAGGCAAAAATTTAATAGCATATTGATGATCTGTCTTTCACAATTAAGTTTTATGATCATTAATTATTCATGAACTACCAATTTAGATTGTGAACTTAATTCTAATTAGTATTATGTTTGGTTGACTCTTAATTCTTAATTCACATTAAAATATAAAATGTATTTTTGGTGCAGTCTTTAATCAAATCTTTCCTCTGGGAATTGGGAATGATAGTGTTTTGCATAAATTATCAAATCAATTATTCATCATTTGATTGATCAATGAATTTTCCAATATATCTATAAATTCTTACAAGATGATATATAGTTATGAATAAACGTAAAAAAAGAGCAATATTAATGTAAAAGGTTCTAAATCTAAAGAAATATATGAAATACCAGGTAAGATATATACATGATATGAAGAGGATTGTAAATTCAAAAGAGAAACTAATATATCACAATTTTGAATGAATGCCACAACTATTTTTGATAATATTTCAAATGGCAGACTGTTATAGTTTTAATGGCATTTTCTATATCAGAACAATCTATAACTTATTACTATTGATACTACAAAAGTAGTGAATTATTGCAGTTTCTATTTTGTAATCTTATAAAAGTATAAGATAGAAGATGCTGTTGGATACTCAAAATAGGACGGGCTGTGCCATTCGTCACTCAAAAAGATAGACAAACTGCATTATTGAAACAATATGGGCTGCCCTGATTCGTCACTTCTACTAAGACAAGCTGTGCCAATTGTCGCTTAAAATGTTACAAGCCTAGGCATTGGTTACTCAAAGTAGAGATGGATATCATTGGATTATGTAAAATAAGAGGGGCTACGTCATTGGTTGATTTTAAAAGGTATACTATTATATTACATACCAGTTATCCGATTCCTGTAATATAGCATTGAATTAATTTTATTTTAATGGTGTCTGGATGTATTGTTTATTATGCTTTCCATCCAAAAATAGCCTGTCTGAATGTGTGTGTGTGTGTGTGTGTGTGTATGTATGTATGCATGTGGTATAAAGGGATGTATGTATGTCAGAGTGTATGTGTGGATGTTTGTTTATTTATGCGTGGCGAGACAGTATGAGAATAAGAAGATAAATATCTACATGTTATATGTATAAGTTAAGTTTGACATTCAGAGTGTATAATTGATTTGAGGAGAGGGATTGGGTGTCTGGGAGAAAGTAGTTAATGAAATAATTACAGTATAATAATATATCATTACCAGAAAACACAAAGTTTAATTATCTACAATGTTGTTTTATTTGTTTTTATTTTGCTCCATGCGTTTAATAATTAACAATTGTGTAATTATAATGATACAAATTGTTACTATTGTATGTATATGATTTTGATTGTAATAATTGTTATTTATAGTTTTCTGATAATATATACTATCTGGTGTAGAAAGTCTAAAATTAATGTTTGAACCCCTGGTAAATTCTGAAGAGGGCACTATTTAATTTCTCCTTGATGATATTCCAATCGTGGGAATGAACAATGTTGTGTAATTTTTTTTTTTATGAAATGCAATGCGAACCCTATGCATATGTGAGTGAGTGGCAGAAACTATGCATCAAACTGCCAGTGTATCTGCAAATTCATACAGTTAGCCCTCTGGCGTCTGATTGGCCCGTTTTTGAAGTCATGTAACTTATAGAACACGTATTTGGTTCCCTTATAAATTGTCGTCATGCATCTGATGACGGAAAACTGATGCGATATACTTTTGACCTTGGCTTCTTATAAATTATTATACTTTTTAAATATGATTCAAGAAAAAAAGTGTTCTCTTTAAGTCCAAGTACTGTAATGTTTCCTTTTTTTTGGCTTTGAAGCAGAAACTATTTTGGGGTAATGTTTCAGGTCATTCAGAAGAGTGTATGTGTGTGCTATTTTTTGTAAAGAAACACGAGCAGTTTCTTCCTGTATTTTTCAGTTTGTGATTACCCATTTTTTATCTGTCTACAAAAATCATCATAAGTGACTAAAATCTTATCAACTAAGCGGCTTTTGTAGAATTCTGTCTTAATACTTCTGAAGTATTTCACATAAAGACTATATCTAGCGTATTCACTGTTTATTATCTCGCTTTGCGTACCTTAGTAATTCTGAATGCAAAGACGTGGCAAGTGATACAAGGCACTCCAGTGTAGTTTATGATAATGATCATGAAATTCATGATTTTACTGGATTATTGCGGGCGGGCTTGTCATGTGTCCATTGACTGCTTGTAATGGCAATGTAATTGATAGATTTTGTGAGGTCTATAAAGGAAAAATTTTTGCGGTATCGGATGAGGAATCGGTCCGTAACTCAGGACAGTCGATGATGTTATCATGAGAGACTGAAAGAATATTTGTAATTAGTAATTAAATTTTATATATTTTGTTTTTATTTTATTTGAATTCATGTGAACAATCCCCTGTAAATAAAAAAGTATGAGGGGTATCCATAGGTGTACAGTCTGTAAATCAAGTTATATCGCCCCACCCGTTGATGACTTCACTTTATGCATATGTTATTGAGAAGCTGAGAGGGGTTATGGAAAAATGAAGAGCTCTCATTATGATAAATATTATGAATAATTTCGAAATTACTACTGTAAGGTATTGAGAGTTTAAAAACAGAACAAAACCATAAGATTCTTAATAAAAAAAAAATGAAATGCGACTGTTTATATACTTTTCCTATCAATTTGTAGAATAAAGTTTAAGTTATTCAGATAAATGCTAATGGAAAAGTTATGTCTCTTGACTTTTGTTGCTTTTTTTTTTTACTATAAAAACATTGTCCAAGTTACAATTTCCTCATATATGTGTACCGTAAATGGCCTAATAAGCACCGCTATTATGCTTCTGTGCGGTCTAATTCGGAAGAGTCACTTATTTGAGACCAGCATTTTTACAAATTAAAGTAAGTGGTAAAATGTTTATCTTTGATAACTTTACAGCACTTATAGAGTACCACGGTCGTGTCGTCACAACGCCAGGTGGTGCCCTCTGTCGTCAACCAGATGTCGGTTGCTGTTCATTACGCCAGAATGACTTCCATAGGCTTTCTGGAATAGGCATTTTAAAATCTAATATTTTACCATCAAATTCACTAAAAACACAAAAGCTCGCATTATATTAGTTATCGAACACACATAATAATCATCAAGTAAAATTTACAAAGAAAAACTAAGATACATGTTAATAATGGGGATCAATGGTTTGTTAGTGGGGAAAATGGTTGAACGAATTTTGCAACGATAACTACAGAGTAGTATGTTATATTGTGACGTAACACTGTAGTACTCTATTTGAGAGCAAATTAAAGTTGGGTGTGGCACTTGATCATTAGTGGCGCATTTTCAAGAGACTAAAGCTGTGCACACATTGCGCCCGATGGTTGTCTATGAAGAATGCACGCAATGTATTGTCTTAAAGCTGCCAACAACAATCAGTAGATGGCGTCGCGTTGTCTATTGCTCACAGGGAGCGGAGTTGGATTCGTTGTACGACAGTCGTACAACCTTCTTACGGCGCAGTGAGCGCCCATCTGTAGCCTTTTAATAGGTCATTTACGGTATTAACAATAATCGCAATATGGGTTAGTCTCACAATAGAGCACTCTTATCTGTATTGGGAGATAACTGTTAGCACCCGTGTGAGAACGCCCGATTGGTTAGTTCTAACCGTTGCCGGTATCTGGATACGTTAATGGTTAGTGAGCACTATCAATTAGCAAATTGATAGCGTTTCTATCAATGCCACTTATTCAAAAGACTGAAGCTCTCAATAGGTCATTTACAGTGCAGAATTATCAATAATCGCATTATGGATTAGGATCACACAAGTACTAGTATCAGGAGCTAACTGTTAGCACCATGTGAGAACGCCCGATCAGTGCTAACCGTTACCAGGATCTGGATATGCTAACCGTTAGTGGCTATGTTCTCACACGGCTGCTAACGGTTAGCAGGATTTGGATTCTGCTAACCGTTAGCTGCCGTGCGTCCATACGAGAAAATCCCGATCCGGATACCAAAAATATGATCGAATCGCTAGAAACTGGAAATTGTAAACGTGTACGTGTGATTGGTTGATGATAAAAACATGCTCAACATGCTAATCTATAGTGCTTTCTAACTGTTAGCGGTATCCGGATACCGCTAATGGTTAGCGCTAACCAATCAGGCGTTCTCGCGCAGGTGCTAATGGTTAGCTCCCGATCCGGATACTAGGGCTCCTGTGGGAACAAGGCTAGTGAGCACTGTCGGTTAGCAAGTTGAGCGTGTTCTGTCATTAACTAACCACACGTACGCATTTTCAATTTCCAGTAGTTTCCTATTGGCCAGTGATCTCACCGTCGTCTTTCTTGATATCTGGATCGGAAATTTCTTGTATGAATGCCAGGGTGAACGTGTATGTTTTATTTATCTGGATCCTGCTAACCGTTAGCTGCCATGTATGAACATAGCCACCATGATTACTTGAATTGTGTGCACACCATTATGAGCATCATCATAGTAGCCCGTTTCATGGTTATTTTAAGCACTCAGAGAGAAGAAATCCCTTATGTGAGATCTGGTGAAATGAGCTTCCTTGACACACATTTATTTTCATTTTTCTGCGCATGGTGTGATGCACATCGCGAGACAATTGATAGTAATGTAGTAAAAACATGCAACTATTATGAATTTACAGAAGATGGGTTGCGGGGGATGTCCCGGAGACTCCATGACTTAATGGATGCTTGGGTCCCCAGAGCATTATGGACCAATTGCAGGGCAAAGGCTGCCGAAGTTGGAACCATTTATCCTCCTTGTCTGGTGCTTTCATATCAAATAAAGTAAAATCAACATTTATTCACTTAAAAGAATACAATTAAAACGGAATAATTTTTTAAAATATAAAATAAATATACGAGGAATTAATTATGTAACTTTAAAAAAATAATAAAAATAAAAGAAGTGAAAGGATGAAGATGAAAAAATAAATCTTATAATGGGACAGCCTGAGAAGTAGAGAAAAAGAATTTGGCCTAATAAATAGTAGAGGCATAGACAACAAAGGACAAAATGAGATAAAAACAACAAACAAAACAAATTGAATACAAACCGAGACAGGCAGCCAAAAAAACAATGAGAAGGGGATGGAATAGAACAAAAAAAAACCCTATACAGTATTTAGATGTGTTTTTTGAGCTGGTTTAGAAAAAAAAATTCTAGAAGAGACATTAACTAAATGGGAGGGTAACGAATTAAAAAATATAGGGTTCGAAATATGCAGGAAATAATGGGTGGGTACGAATATTATTAGAGCTATTTTGTGTACTATAAATGGAGTAATTATATTTGAAAATGTTACAGAAATGAATTGGTAAATGATTTTCCAATACTCCATCTGGTCCTGGCTTATTTATTGCATGCTGGAAAACATGCTAAACAAACAAATTCGACTGCTGAATTTGATGGCCTGGTTCTTAGCTTAGTAAACCGAACTCACTGCAATAACGAAAACAACAAAAATAATCAAAATTTAAAAAAAAATCGTACTATTTCCATCCTTCAGTAATACAGTACAGATACTTACAATTGATCAATTGTGAAAAATAATAGACAGAAAATATAACACTAAAAATACATGAAGTCAGGATGAAACACAAATATCGTCAGACTCTAGAATTCGTACGAAGAGGAACGTTTTGCATGACCACAAGAAGGATATAAAATTATGATATTCTGGTAACAAATGGCCTACTTCCCGTGTCTGGAAATACAAGAAGTAGCTCTACATTAATATACACGTATTTATCCACTACTCAAGTGATGTTCTAAGAGAACATGGCACCAATGTATTGGGACTGCTGACAACCTGGCAAAAAGAAATATAAAATTGAGGATTTACATGAACTTAGAATCATGCACAAAATAGAGAACCGAAATTGAGAAAACGGCTTTATGAAAAAAAAAAATGTTTCTATACTGAATGTTGAAAAGAAACTGAACTAGCTTTTATGTCATCCCTTGTTTATTATGCTGTTCTTATTAGGAAGGAATGTTTAAGTTTAGTTTGTAGTATATGGGGTATGAGGTTTGTTAAAAGCAGTTATAAATAATAATAAGCATAATAATAATAAAAACGAAGAAGAGGGAAGGGAACCTGAAAAAAAAATGGATAATAACTTTACCCGAATGTGTAAAGATAAACATGATTCAAGGCGGTGTTCTATCTACACACTGCACCAGGATTTGTCAGGTAGGGGAGGGAGTGTGGGGCTTACTGGTCCGATTGGGCTCACAATTTCAGACGGGGTCCATCCCTAACTGGAATGAAACCGGAGGTCCGTTGCCTCTGTGGGACATTTTGGAAAATTTTAAGCTGTTCTGAGATGATTTCGGCCTAGAAAGTACGTTATTTACCCCCTAAAAATTGTTAAACTTTGTTTTCTTGTTCGTTTCCTGAACCACTTCCGACGCCGGGCGTCGGTTATAGGCCTATGGCTTGTTTTAGACCGTTACTTGGCTTTCAACTGAGTTACAGTACGTATTTATATAAAACAAAATTTCGTCACAACTTAACGGACTTACATGCAACCAGCAATAGAAATATTTTTTAATATTTGAAATATTCCCATGATTTTCAGTGACAATATATTAAAATGGGAATTACCCATCTGTTCATAACATTTTAATTAAACAACTTAAACACGCAAAAGTTATAGGGGCCTAACATCATTCGATACTTTAAGTTGTGTGCCAACATTAATAATCAACCGCGGCGATTATTTGTCAATTACAACTCTTCTGTGGATCACTAAATTGAAAAACCATTATTAAGTATCAGAAAAGATTTATGACAATTTGAACGAATTGGTAACGAGAAATTATTTTTCTTAATTCGGACATTAAATTACGGAAATAAAATAATGGATACACTGCATTGGTACTAGCGCCCTCTATCATTGCACTGATAAAAACAACGAATTGTTTTTCTTGAGAAAAAAATGCGTGATGAGTTCGTTCATAGCGAGAAGACGTGCTGAGAGGATTGTGACTAAATATTTGGTGAGTAACGCACTTTTATTTGCAGTTTTAAGGAACGTAGGCCTATATATACTTCTATAAATTCAAAGAATGACAAAAACTCAATCCTAATGGCCTTCTAAATAGTACTATTGGCACTCAGGAACAACGTATACATCACGGATGGGTTTGACAGATACTGACTTGGGTCTTTTGCCTAGGCCTCATGGTCATACCTAGGCAGGCCCAGGCCTAGATGGATATCTTGATTGAGCCCTGATCTAGGCCTAGGTCAGTCTTTAAGAAGGTGCTGCTTTTCTGTCTGTCAAGTGCCAGGCCTGGTGTAGGACCGTTTCGGCCGTGATGTATGGAACACATTTTATTTGTATTGTATGTTTTCAGTCAATTCGATTTATTGAATGACTAGGCCTAATAATTTTCCTAAAGTATAGGCCTAGGCCCCTCTCTAACTAGACTAGGCCTAGCATAACACTGTAGTGTATCTAGGGGGTGGGGGGTTTGCACGCCCCTCCAAAAATTACTCGTGCCCTCAGTTACCCACCAAAAAATCACTTGCAAGTAGTTAAAAATCACCTTATTTTGCGAGTTAGTGCCCCTCAACTGATTATCGAGCCCCACCCCCTACTTCACATTTGTGCACTCCCATTTTAAGACTTCTATATACGCTACTGTAGCCTAATACTAATTTGATATAGGCCTAGGCCTCCTAGAGCCTGTCTGTGTAATAGATATATATGCGTATTGAAAATTAATAAAAAAAAATTTAAAAAAAGGATTAGGCCTATGGGAAATGTAAACATGTTTTTTTTTTTTATCAATTCACCAAGGAATGCTTATTCATAACATAACACACAAGAATGAGTTTGTCAAACTTAAAATGTTAACTGGCAACTGATATGGTTGGCCTATTTTTAAATTGTTTAGAATTAGGATGCCATGCACTGTATCAGTGTAGAAATCTGACAAATGTGTTTAATTAATGCAATAATATGATTGTCAATTAATTAATAAAGGAAATACAATTCATCAATCAAATACAATTCATCACCGATTTTCATAAAATTGCCATATTCCAGAATGTCTTTCAGTAATATATCACTGCACTGATCGTATTCGTATCCATTCAATTTGCAGAATTGTTTATGTTTTTATGGCAATTGGCTGTTAACTGCCAACTGCCTCATTGAATAATATCCAAACAGTTTATTGACATTTTTTTGGACTGCCATATACAGTATAATAAGTACCCAAGGCCAATTGTAAAGTATAGCAGTTGTACGCTAGAAATAGAAACAATTGCCAACTACAGTACGGCAATTTAGCTAAATAGTTTAAAGAGTGTTCTGGAATGTTACTCTGGTTTCTGCTTTGATTCCAGCAGTAGTCTAAATATCATTTCTTTCTTGCAATTTTCTGGGCCCCATTTCCCAATCTTTTGATCATATCCTAGAAAAAAATGTATTTGCCTTCGAATTCCGACACTAAAATTAAAATCTTTAGAGTGGAAAAAATTATAAATTTTGGTAAAATATCACAAACATCATTCGGCTAGCTGGTCTTCCCCCTTTTCCATTCCCTCCACCCTCATCAGCTTTCTCATGGGTGTACTTTGGGGAGGGAGGATGAGCTCCCTATGCTGCCAAATTAGGTTTTCATTGGAATAGAGATTTACAGTAGTTCTATTCTGTATTCTCAATGTTCACACCCACAGGCTGAAACCACACTACTGTACTGTATTCCCCTCTGTTTCTGATATCAGAACTGAGCAACTGATGTAATGCTTATTAATTTTTTTTTAGCAATTTTATAGTAAGTAGTCATATTTTGACAAAATGGGTTTCAAGGTGTTGTATTTAAGTTTAACAAATAGCAAAAATGTTATCAGATTATTTGGAGGCAAGACTTTTTTTCGCTTATAGTTTGATTTCGGGAAATGTGTTCAAGCTGTGAAGGCGCTAGGTAACAAAGCATTTGTACAAAAACTGCAGAATATTTGACTAAGATTAATAAATGCACAATTAGTTTCCGGAAAAAAAAAAGCTGATGTAAATGCCAAACATAAGCATTATATTATGTTAGCATATCACAGCAAATACAATGGTATAAGCTCAAACTTTTTTGTTAATGTTAACAGACTACATATAAGTCATAACAAAAATTATGGCCATGATTTTTTACAATCTTCTTCATTCGTTTTTGTTTTGTTATTTGATAAATTTGCATTTAATTATGTAATAAGGCCAGCCATATCTTTTGAATTCTTGTGTACACTGTAGTACGTGCACTGTGTCTTTAATTATTAGACTAAAAGGTTATTGAGAATATTGTGTGTAAAAATATTGATATCATTACTTCTTGTAATTTATTTTATTATATATCGTCTATATGACTAATTGAACTTCTTTCTAGATCACGTAGAAATTTTACCACAGTTCAAGCAACAACCCCATTTCCTGCAAAACTCTAAATATGGCATTATTTTGCTGTGCTTAAAAAAGAGAGAAAAAAAACATTGAAGTTATGTAGTTTCGTTTCTTAAATTCTGAAATAAAACATCTTTTTTTCGTCTAGGAATTTCCATGACAACTTTTTGACCTAAACATTGACTAGTTCAATGCCACAGTTACTTGGGAGTTCTTTTGAACTTGTTTTTGTTAACATGTATTTACTCTTTTTCGTATTTAAATATAAAGTGCGCAAAAGTGATTTAATTTCCACCCTCCTTGTATGTTGATAGTCAAAAATGGCGGCATTGAATGAAGACAATTAAAGCTTCTCTGTTTTAATTTTTACTTTTTTGAAAGGAACTTTAAAAACAATTGACATACTTTTTATCTGATAATCCAATTAAAACACAATATGCACAATTAGCTATTGACTCCTGATTTACTTACTATTAAAAAATCACAATTTAAAAAGGTCTCTGGTAAAAAAGAAATATTCCTTTTGAAATTTAATACAAACAAGTGCTACTAATTCAAATGATTTGTAAACATTTTTACTTTAAAACGACTTAACAGTTTCACAGGGATCATGTTTGATCTCAAAATTTTAATTGTTGGGCCAAAAGTTGTAATTTATTTAGCTGTGCACAGTACTGATTGAATTTGGAGACTTGTATGTAAATTAGTGACTCAACTACTGTATTGTGTAACCATTACACTTGTTCATTTGGATAACAATGCTTTTGTATCAGTTGTTCTTTTAAAAAATAGTGCACTTCATAAGCAGAAAATTTATAAACAGATTAAAAATAAATACACTCCTCCTACAAACAATAATGTATGATAACATAACATTTAATTATTGTTATTATCTAGGAACGTTAATTGACTATAAACTAAACTAGAATGCTCCTGTTAGTAAGAAGGCAATTAAACGTTTGTATTTTCTTAGAAAACTTAAGCCATTCCAAGTTTAGTACAGTAGTGTTATTCTTAACCTTTTTTTTAATAGTACTATTTTAAGTGTTCTAATGACTGTGTTGTTTGGTATTCTTATCTTACAATTTTTAACAAGAAGAAACACCAAAGAATTATGAAACTTGCTCACAAAATTATTAAGAAAGGCCTCTGTAGCTTTAAGTGAATTACACAACAAGTATGTACTTAATGTAAATTAAATAAGATTATTATGGATCTGTTTCACACCCACTGAACTACTCATACTCCCACACGTATACCATTATTAAGTGTGATTCTAATAGACCCAAAATCTCTTTCATTTAATAAAAACTCTATATTGAAGCTTTTTCAAGAGATAATTTAATACTGTATGTATATTTACATTATTTTTTAACTTTCTGTACATATGCCATAACTTAACTTGTTTTATAATTGTGTATTTTGTAGTACTGAATTTCATGTGAACCGGGTTGTGCACAATGACAATAATTTAATTATCTTGTATCTTGTAAATAAATGGCGCTAAACAGCTTAACATCGGCGTTAAAGACCCGGGGAGCTCACTTGCATACCAACCAAACAGGGGGGTGCCGCAGCCACTTCAAGACATGAGACATTTGTGCTACCTATTTTACTGAAAATTCTTATGGACTTGAACTACCATCGCACTGTGCTCTAAAAGACGACATGAACTAGTCCACTCGATAGTGCCAGGGAGGGCGCAATATTGACTGGTTCCCGATGGCAAAAAGTCTGGTCACGATCTCGTAACTGTACCAAAGGTAGGCTTAGCAAGGGGCTTACCGGCTTAGCACCCAGTTTAGCTTGAAATTCTCACTAACATCGTGCGGAAAATCATTTCACTTTGACACAGGATAGGCCAGGGACTTTAACTACCAATTTCACCACGGTTATTTCCCACACTTGTGTTACAAAGTCCTCGCAAGTATAGTATATCCCATGGATGCTGCAACTCCCCCATATTTCCCACACTGTTGCTACCAAGTCCTAGAAAATACACCCCGTAAATGCGGCACCTCCATGTATAGAAATATTTAAGAGTGAGCCCCCCAGGGTTAGAGATCCTCCTTGCCCAGGGTTTGGTTGGTAATTCTTTCCTCCATCGGTACTGTACAGTAGAACCAAGTCTTCGGATAAGGTGGTACTAAGGCCCAATAAAAAAAAATATTAGTTTATCACTCTCGCGCGCATGCCTTTTATGGTACTGAAAAAAAAAAATTTTGAATTTTTTATTTTTTAAAATTTTATTAATTTTTTTTTTCACTTATTTTATTAAATAGTTAGTAGATATTGTTTGCATTATCTAAATCATGTTTTACTTTGAATATCAATGCATCAGCAAACAACCCAAGGGTGATATTTGGCTTTAGCAAAATAAAAAAATAAATAAAAAAAAAGCCTCCCTCCCTCATCACTTTTCCTGCCCAGATAGGGTGATAAACTAATAATATTTTTTATAGGGCCTAATAAAATATACACTGGCTTGTTTGCATCAAAAAACCTGTTGTATCTTCTCGGAGAGTATGGGGTTGTCCCCATTACCTGCATCATTTGAGCTCCTGTGGAATGGCATAATACTGTACTGTATTCTTACTT